AATGATGAAAAATATCTAACATAAAGTCATATAATCATGTTGATGGTCATTAGTGTGTAAAACCTTCTCGAGTCTTTGATGGCGAAAGGCTTGATAGCCAGTATGAATGCTGAGTCTACATAGAATACATCATACATGCCATAGACAAAGGTATTCGTGCTAGATAGAGACAATCTTTAACTATAATATTTTGAACATTTTTCCTTCATTCATTGCACCTATTTGATCCCATTTTATGGAGAAAACGTGTTTCGAAATAGTAATTTTTTAAAAAAATGTACAGTTAAAAAAGCAGTAAAAGTATTGAGTTTACGTGTAATTTTTTTTTATTAGAGAATGTGTTGTTAAAATGAGTTTTGGAAAAATAGAGCCCAAACATGAATATTGTACAAAAATATACCTCGTTAAGCCTTATTAACAATCATGTGAAATTTTTTTTAATGAAGGTAAAAGTATACATTGTTCTTTTGAATATGTTATGAAAGTTACTTCATTAAAAACTTTGCGAGAAATGCTCAGTGAGACAGAATTTCGAACAAGGCAAAAAGAGTACAATACCTTTTTACTCCCCCTAATATTAATAGCACTTAAAATATGTATATCTAATTTATCAACTTCTCAAGTATTGCAGTATAATGCATTTGTACATGTTTGCCACATAAATCACGATAGCCACGTGTGAATTGAAAATTTGGTGATGAACACTACGATGATCAAATAAAGCACTACATCATCATAATCAACTAATCTAGAATCACGAACTAATTTATCAAGAAACAACAATGTTTCTTTTGTTCTAGGATATGGTACTTCATGAACAAAGAGTTTTTTATTATCATCTCGAAGGAGAAAATGGTCTTCTTTTCACCCCAATTGAACAAATAATCGTTGGGTATCAAATGAATGTGTCATTTTTATATAAGAAATCTTTTCTCAGGACTTTCTAGTTAGTTGACTCATGCTCAAGACTCAATTGGCTAAAAGTTCGATCTGTAGGTCCAGGTAAATTTTTAATTTCCTAATCTTTCATCATTATATCCTCCTTTAAGTAATCAATTTCCTTTAGATAGTCTTCAAGAATTCCAATAGTGTTTAAATCATCAACAAGAATAATGACAAATTTGTATATTGATTTCAGTTAGAAACATATGAGCATATATGGTCATCACTTGTACCATTTTTATCATATATTGACCCAAGACACAGTACTACATAAGTTAAGATTACAATTTTTTTTTTGTACTTTGATCGAATAAGTTTCCTGAAAAATTGAACTATATGCTTCAGATATATTAAATTCTTCAGAAATTTAATATAGATATTATTGTCAAGCATTCCATATAAATTGATCATAACTACATTTATTAGATGCATATAAAATTTGATGCATTACCAAGCTAACAAGATTTCGACTTGTGATTTCATCCATTATAGGAAAATTATTTATTTATGTAAGTCTCTACGATAGTCATTATCATTTCCTTCTCACAAAAGAATTACTAAATTTAAACATTTAAGTGTTCATATTACAAGTCCAAAGATTTCATGTTTCTCTATTAAATTCAATTTTATTTGGATTGTGTCCATTTATTTGGTCAATCATTTCTACATCGGTATTCCTAGATGCCTTTACTTCAACATTCTCATTATTAAAGTGCTGCGACAACGGATACTTTTCGATTTCTAGTTCTTCCTCATATTGACATAACTTATAGTTATCCTTCTATTTCAACTATTTTAGGTATCTGAACCTCTTCTGA